AAGGTTCGAGAGGAATCTCCCATCAACTCGTATACCTCTCTCGTTCCAATCCAGTGACTTCATCACCCATCTCAAGGCGGCGGTAAGCAGCTTCGGCGAAACGGTGCCGCCTTGTCGAACCTCCTTCGAAATTGGTATTTTAAAGGGGCGTTGGAAAAGCTGTACCTTTGTAGAGCAGTTCTTGTAGCAGTCGGCCAATGTCCTCACGTAAGATGGGTCCACCTCTTGGTCGACGAGCGCTGACAGAATGGCATTACTCTCGACGCTGTCAAACGCTTTCTCGTAGTCGACGAGGTAGGCGGTACTCTCGGCAAACCTCGATGACCCTCGAAACTGTCTGGATGTGATCCACGCAACTGAATCCCTTGCGAAATCCAGCTTGTTCTACAGGTTGGGCTTCATCCAGCGTCCTTCATATGCGAGCGAGAATAATCTTCGTAAAAAGCTTGTAAGGCACGCTCAGCAGGCATATTTGACGGTAGTTTGCCCTTCTTATGAAGAAGGATTGTTCGGGAGGTTCTCCACTGAACGGGGATCCTTTTCCTTTAAAGGTAAGATGTTAGGTGTTCCGCAAGCATCTCGTATAGGCGATGTCCTCCAGCGTAAGAGGCGGCCGAAACGTGGTCAGCTCCCGGAGCCGTGGCTGCCTTCATGGTCTGAATTGCGGTGCGTACTTCAGCAGGTAGAATCCGTGGTGGTATTTCTCCAGTGGGAATAAGCGGGTTTGACATGGGTGTTGATGAGCGGAAGAGATTGGCGTAAAATCTTATCGTGATCGATTCCATTTCTGTCAGGAAGATGTGGGAGTCTCGTTCGTTCAGTAATGTTGTCAACGGAACAAGATAATCGAGAAGATCCTTGTGGTACTTCTTTAGACTTCTCCTTCCTTGCGCTGCTTCTAAACGTTTCAACTGCCTGTACTTTCGTAGATCTTCTTGCAAAGCTGTTCAGCAGCTGGTATTGGCTACCAGTCGCTCGAGATGTGATTCAGTCGGATCCAGCTTCAATGCTCTCCTCCTCTCTAGCAGATCCTTGGCGGCTTTGCTCGAAGGAGGCGGTGATCTGAACCACTACTGAAGAATGGTACCACTGAGACCTTCAGTAAGCA